CCAAATACAATGCCTGACCTTGCCCAGAAAAGTCAGGTGAAACGGTTATAGAACCATTTACAAATGTACCATTGTACAAACCAGTCAAATCTTCTCGAGCATCACCACAATCAAATGACCAAAAATAATCCATTATGAGGTTCGGTCTTCGAGGCCAACATACTAAATAGATGAACAATTATTATCAAATGACAGAAAATAAACTAAGAGCACACTTCTTGTCCGATCTTGAAATTTCTCAATCTTCTCGAAAACTTACCTAGAAATTTCGATAGACAAAACAGGTTTCTCTTGTGAGAGAATTTTTCTGAGGGATAGTTTCGCTAGATTTGTGTCGACATCAAAGATTTTCCGCTTACGGTCGTATGATAAAGATTTCTGACCATGGTTTCTACTTTTTCTACTTATGTAGCATTATCTAGAACTCAAAGACAAATTCAAAAGATTTCCTTATATTAAGTTTTTACTTGTCAGAATGAATATTGAACCAATAAATAACCTTTAGACATAGAAGTTCAAAAAAGTAATGAATTACCCAGATAAATTTCAACAAAACCGCGAAAAAAAAGACATTTCTGATGATGAAATGAATGTAAGAATCAGTCCATTTCAAATTCTTAGATAATACTTAACTGCCAGTTTCATGGGACAAATATAATGAATTTGATTTGTAATCAAAAATATGGAATTAAATTAATCTGATAATCGAATCAAGTGCACTGGCATCCTAAATGCTTCCTTATTTGTCATTATTTTCGAAGAAAAATCTGAAGTGTTGGTCAATGATTGAGTCATATCTGCCCTCGGAGGATGACATACTTCTGATGAATTACTCATGGAAAATTTCTAGCAAACTCCAAGTGAAATGTTATTTCAATCAGTTTCTAGCTTCTCGAGATACGTTAGCTTCTCAACTTTCTGCTAGCTTAGGATAGAAACAAAAGGCGAACATTTTCGAGTCGAAAACTAATTTAACATACGAGGAGGTGGTGGCGGTCGTCTCGAACCAAGTACTGCACCAACAATTATGCCAGCAATGCAGATTATGACGATTATAGCTAATTCAAATATCGTTCGTTTCTTTTTGTACCAAGGTTTTTTCTTGTTCTCAGGTGGATAGAGAAGGGCTCCTAAAATAAACGAATCGAAACATTTGTTCTTAACTTTCTTGCTCTCTCCAATTTACCTTCAAATGGGAGTTCGAGAAGAGTTTCGGTCGGTTTTATTTGCTTCAAATGAATAATATGAAGACCAGCTGCGGGACTAAACAGTGATTGAACTTCCATGCGGGTACCAGGCAAAAGAAGAATTTCATCTTCGGTAACGAAGTGTGAATGAGCTTGCACCGTTCGACCATTGATTGCTTCGACTGAGAAAAGAGTTCTCTCACCTTCAGAACCCAGATACATATTATTTTCCAATACAGGCAGTGCATGAGTGCACGAAGAGAATGCCCACCATGTTACAAGAGTGCCTGGTGGAAATTCAGAACTTAGATCTTTGGCTACACCTCGCCAAACTGTTAATGGTGGGACACAGGGTAACTTGACGAGAGCAGTCAAGAACAACTTCATATACTTGAAATAAGGTCGAAGTTCTTCACGTGGAGCAGTTTTGAGAGTGTAATTAAGCATTGAATAGAGACTTCGATGAGGTTTTTCCCATTCAATAGTATAAAGACGAATCGCAGCACTCTCGTCCACAGTCAATCCATTTGGTGGTTCTTTTGGTGTTTCACTGAGCGCTAATTCTACATAGAACGATAAGTTGAAGAGAATATCGGACAACGGAACACATGCTTCGTGAAGTGATAACAAAGGTTCTGCAGCATATTCTATCACAGGATCAAGAATATCATGTATGCCAGTGACACCACCAACTGTAATCAGACGATTATTTCTTGTATCCTTCTGAACGGTAGTTGTATTGGTGTCTTTCACAGCTATAATCGCATTCGAATCATCTGCGGTACCTTCTTCCTTTGACTTTGTATTTTGGTTGTCAGATTTGCTTAAGGAATCACTGTTAGCTTGAAACCTTACTGCTTGAACAGAGTGATCATCATTTATCTCTTCACCATTGCACTCAACTTTTGTATCGACCATGTTATCATAAGTTCCTTTCGCTGTCCTTCGTTTTTTCTTTCTATAATTGTGTTGTTTCTTAATCCCGTGTCGCTGATAGTAGTTAGATGTAAAAAAAAAAACACAAAATTTTAACATTTCTTTTCAGATACAATAGACATGAAGGGTGTTCGGAAATACAGAATTATCAACGAATAACAATCAAGATAACGAATACCAATAGACGTATACAGACTGCTGCGATGAGATATGTCGCTCATCTCGTAAGTCCCTTTTAAGAAAAGATCTAAATGAACCTAGCTCAGCTTGCTTGTCCTGAAAAAAAACTATGGATATTGTAGTACTGTTCGACTAACCAGCAGCTAAGAAAACATATACTTTACTGTCAAGATGATGAGATTAAATTATCAAAGTTTGATAGAATGATGAAAGTTTAAACTGATATCTGAGTCTCACCGACAGCTCGGTTCAATCGATCTATAATAATTCTTTCCGTTACTGAATTAGCCTTTCAGTAGACTTACTTCAAAATCAATAATAACTGTAATATACCGTGAGATCGAAAAGAAGCAAGAGTCAGTTCATGTCCTGATCGGGTCAGGTCATGGCGTGATTCGATTCGGCACTAACATTTGGTCGATTTTGAACTTCGCATAAGACAATTGACTATCTTAGATGAGATATTGGTTCTCTTGTTTCAAATATTGAGAGAGTTCGTATAGATACACGAAAAAGATTGTTAATCAGTGAAAAAAACTCATTGTCCTTTGCAAAAAGTATGTTCGACCTCTGGTCGGGTCGGATCAATAAAGAAAATTGACGTAGAGTCGGGTTCAGTTGGGTTGGTTCAAGCCATGCTTGGACCAAGTCGAATAGAGTCACGAAAAATTGATTTCGCTGCAGAGTAGGCTCTTTCGACAGATAAAGAACGATTGAATAAATATGAGATAGATCCCGATTTAACACCAAAAAAAGGAGAATAATCTAATGTGATCATTAATTTAACCACTGACGAAATTGAAAGAATTCAAATTCAACATCAATTAAANTGAATACCTGAATACTTGAAACAACTTTTCAATAATTGAATTCAAGTTTCAAGTTTGACACTACTGACTCAACCCACACCCACTCACACTCACGCCCACACCCACGCAGGCCCACGAGCACACCCACACACCCACACTCACACCGCACACCGAGACCTCAGTTTCCCATTCTATTATATATGTATACATATGTGTGATGGTTCTTGTTAGGGTGTGGTTGTTCTTCTTCAGATTCTTTCTATTCGTTATAACTCAGTTACTGTCTCTGTTATATTTCCTTCATTTCTTTCGAATAAATAAACTAGAGAAATTTACTTTAACTTCCTATCTTCTAAGATAACTTACAATACGTGGCATTCATCATTGAAGTTAGTTTCCTTTGTATTGATTCTAAATGCTTCTGCCATTATTTATGCATCCGAATTCATTTGTTTCAAGTATTTTCTATTCATCAGAACTTAGTTCAAATCTAATTTTTATGAATGATTTCATTATTTATGTTTTCATCTGTCTAATGAAACTGTTCACTTGATAAAGTTTATGCCAAATCAATTGATCAATCAACCAAGCATTCTCTAGTATGATCAATACAAATTCCATATTGTGTGTTCATTCAGAACAAATTGGTTATATCGTTTAGGAGTGTCTGTCAAGTATTCATTTGATAGGAATGATCACACGATCATACCTGTTCTACTGGAAAAGGCACGATTAACAATGTGAGGTTTATGTCTTTCTTTCGATTGTAGACTAAACTTAGAAACGAAGTGTTTCTCATCCTGCACATTTCTTATCAATCGAGGAACTGCTATTGAAAACATGAACATCACTAATGATCAAAGAAAATAACAGGGAGATATTTATGATGATGAAGATAGATTGTTTTTTGAGATACATCATATAATGACAAGAATTTGTTTCGAACTGCTATTTTTATAATTATGAAAATATAAAAATTAAATTGTTGTCAAAGATTCTGTAATAATTATATTGTTCGGATATAGAAAGTTCATATAAATATTTGAATATCTCACACTTGAAGATGATTGAAATATCTGTACAATAGACTTCGATCATAAGCAACGCTTATGTTATGATTGAAAGTAATGGTTAGAAAGTATCTACCATAAGTTAAATGATCCGAAGATTTGATTAATTCGGCAGAGATAATCTACTATTTGTCTTAGTCTTCTGCTAGTCTGTTCATCTGTTCAAGCAATATCTATTATTGCATGTTGAGAGAGAGAATACGCAAACAACTGGTCAGTCGAACGTAGTAAACTCATCCATCTGATAGTTTAATGTGATATAAAGACAATCCTCATGTTTCAACATTATTATCATGAATATATAGATCAATATCGAATTAACAATATTTGTCGTGTTCATTGTTGATCACTTGTACATAGGACACTCTAAAAGTTTTTCTTTTTGATCTTTCGGCAGTGATAATCTAAGTCTAATTATTCTGCTATAATACATCGAGATATTTAGGACTGTGTAAAATTTCAGCCTTTCATGTCTTGCGAATCGTTATATTTTCTCATTACTTTCAGAGTAGTCACATACCATTTTTCGATATGAGTTTGGACTTTCTCTATGCGAATTAGAGTTGGGTGTGGGTGTGGGTTTGAGTGTGGGTGGGTGTAGGTGGGTGTAGGTGGGCGTGGGCGTAAGTGTGAGTGGGTGTGGGTTGAGTCAGTAGTGTCAAACTTGAAACTTGAATTCAATTATTGAAAAGTTGTTTCAAGTATTCAGGTATTCAAGTATTGAACTATTCAATTATTGAATACTTCAAGTTCAACTATTCAAGTATTCAATTATTCAATTGCGCTCCAGGGAACACAAATCATAGAGAAACACACACATCACGATCTCAGGTGTGGGTGTGGCGAAGGGACTGGTCCAAAAAGCAATAATGTTATGATGGAATACTGGAATAGTTGAACTTAAAGTATTTAATAATTGAATACTTGAAACAACTTTTCAATATTTGAATTCAAGATTCAAGTTTGACACTACTGCACCCACACCCACACCCACACCCACACCCACCCAAATCCACACCCATATCATACCAACAGAAGTTGACTCATTCAACTTTAAATATCTCTATAGCTCTCAATACCTTCCTATATTTATGCTACTTCTGCAGAGTTCTCGGTACTTTCCAATACTTCTTGGTAGTTCTCAGTACTTTATATTTGCGTACCTCTGCGTAGTTCAGAATTATAGAAGTCTGCTCTCTCCTCTCCCCCCCCCCCACGTTTGGTATCCAGCCAATATATGGGATACTCAAAAAAACGCTTTTTTGATACTTTTTATGGATTCAACGGCTTGATATGTTGAAACTCGGGTCTCAGATTACTATATAGTTGTCGGAAAATAGGACTTTTTACTCGTAGAAATTGCTGCGTGGGTGTGGTTGAATTTGTATCTTCCATACGAACACCTTTCATGAAGAAGAACTATGCAAAATGATTTTTGAAAAATTCTTTGTCATGGGAGTAGATGTTGTCTTCTATTCCTCGTTGACACTCACATTAATATCATTTGAATAATTGAAGTGATGGCTGAATGTTCGAAATCAGAGTTCTCAACCTTCAAGAATGTAATATATTAATTGAAGTTTTAGTTTTGACATATATGCACTATTTACGATGATTTCTGTGTTTTAAATGCTTCAAGTGTTTTAAAATATGCCTGATACTCACGGAGTTAGATCACATTGGTTTCCAATAGAAAGAGATGGTCCGCAAGTGTATAGTCTAACCACCTTCTGTATTTATCACATATCACGCTGATATGGATAACTTCCTGCAAAAATGCGCCTGATTTTGCTTTGCCGATGACTTAATAGCTACGATGGCCGGACGAATTGTAGTTAAATATGTTGACAAATGCCTTGATTTAGAGAAAAGACTCAAAATCTTCTTTGATAATCTTGAGTACTACTCATTTCTCGCTGTCCAGCCAATAAACTACGAAAAAATCGAAGCTTTATGGTCAACTAGAGCATGGAGATACACGAAGGAACTCGGTTCGAGCTGACCTGTGTGGGACAGCACATTAGTTGGTGCACTTCATTTAAATATCTTGGTTATTGGATTAGCCCTAAGTTGGACTGGTCCCTGATGATCAATAAAACACTCTCGAAAATTCGACAAAGAGTAGCAATGTTAAACGTCAGTCGGATCTGTGGAGCCTCATCATCTGAATTTTGCAGAGTGCTCTTGCCATCCTTCGTCCTCTCTCTACTCACTTGAATGTTTGCGGTGTTCCCACTCTTCACACAATGTCAATGTAACTGTATGGATTATTTCTATGCCACTTGTCTGAAGCGGGTATTACACAGTCAGCAATGGCCAGAGCATTTCTCTGAGTTTGTCTACAATGAAATTTCTCTTAACAATACGTGTACTAAATATTGGCAAAATTACACTAGAATTCTAGTAAATATGAAAGACGGTGAATTATTAACAGAACAACTATTCCTTAATCTACAAAGGTCCAAGTGATTAAGCAGTAAAAACAGAATAAAATGATTGAGGAGGTCCAAACGATTTATTCAGCATACGACTGTTCTCAAGGAATGTTGGGAATGGTTGGATCAGAATCCATTAACAAATACAATAATACAGTTTCCACAAGAAGATATTGATCTTTTAGAAGAATTCCCAGAAACTTTTTAAAGTTGAAAGTGATTTGTTATATCCCTTTTTCCTTATTACTCATTCTCTGATTATGACTAAAGCATGTCGTTGTTGATCTGTACCTAGTCGTATTGTTCACTCGGACTGATGCATCTTCTGCTGATGTTTATTCAGTTGTTATTTGTTTAGGTACAGTGGTTCTCTTTTAATATATAGTTTCTCTTTTTCTTACTTTTCCTTATGTTTACTTCTTTTTGTGTTTCTTCTCGCTTTCTTCTACTTTTGCTGTTCATCTCTTGGTTCTCTTTCTCTCTTCTTC